TCTCCCTTTGTTTCCTTATTATCAATCTCTTCTTTTGATGGATAAAGAAAAATATATGTAATGAATTAATTTGGGAATAGAGAGAGAAGACCTCTTTTATATGGCAGTTCAAAAACTCCCAAACTGCAGTTATTTAATTAACTGCAGTACTGCAGTAACCTCTCCATCACCATCATGCCCTTTAGTTAATTTAATTATTTCAAAACAACTATATCATAAAATTAATACATGGACCACCTTATGAGAAATGTAAAATATTTCTAACATTGCAGGGTAGGGAAGCAACAAAGGGACTCGTTTCCAAAGAAAAGCACTAGGAGAGCTTCACAAATTCTTCAATTAGTGCATGCTGATATTTGTGGACTATTCAAGCCTATCTCTGACAGCAAGAAAAGATATTTGTTTACTCTCATTGATGACTTTAGTAGAAAAACATGAGTTTATTTTTTGACAGAAAAATCAGAAGCCTTTGTTGTTTTCAAAATTTTTAATATTCTTATTGAGAAGGAAACAAACTCATCTATTAGAGGATTACTTACTGACCGAGGAGGAGAATTCACTAGTTTTTGTGATGAAAATGGTATACAAAGACAATTGACAATTGACAATTGCATACACACCACAATAGAACGGAGTTGCAGAGTGAAAGAATAGAACAATTATGAATATGGTTCAGAGTATGATTTCAGAAAAGAAAATTCTGAAAACCTTCTGGCCTGAAACAATCAACTAGATGGTGCATATCTTAAATCGGAGTCCAACATTAGCCGTGAAAAATAAGACTCCAGAGAAGCTTGGAGTGGAGTTAAGCCTTCGATTGAGTATTTTTGAGTTTTTGGTTGTCTCTCTCATGTTCATGTGCCTAATTGTAAAAGAACTAAGCTGGATAATAAGAGCTTGAGCTGAGTTTTGTTGGGCGTTAGTGAGGAGTCAAAGGCATATAGTCTTTATGATTTAATTTCACAAAGGATCATAATAAGTAGGGATGTTGTATTCGAAGAAGACAAGAATTGGGATTGGGATAAAAAGTATGAAGAAGCCATTGTGTGTGATTTGGAATGGGGTGATCATGAGGAGGACACGGTTGTGTTTGATGAGAATGAAGAGGGGAGTGAATCTGATATTGATGCTGATATAGAAGAATGAGAGTTTTCATCTTATTCCTTAACTGAAGAAAGCTCTCCTAGCTCACATGAAGGGAGGAATAGAAGACCACCAGCTTGGATGAGAGACTATGAAACCAGAGATGGAATTTCTGAAGAAGATAATGCAACTCATTTAGCCATGTTTGCAGTTGCTGATCCAATCCACTTTGACGATGTCGTGAAGAGTGCGAAATGGAAGACAACTATGGACGTGGAAATGGAAGCAATTAAAAAAAATGACACATGGGAATTGATGGAGTTGCCTGAGCGAGGATGAAGGTGGAGTTAAAGTGGACGAGACCTACTATAAATAAGTTGTGGGTAGTCTCATGTATCTCATAGCTACAAGACCGGACATGATGTTTATGGTGAGTCTTATTAGTAGGTATATGGAGAGTCCTATTGAGCTTCATTTACAGGGGGCAAAAAGGGTGTTGAGATATTTGAAGGGAACAGCTGGTTTTGGAATTTTCTATAAGAAGGGAGGAAATGAGGAACTTGTTGCTTACACCGATAATGATTATGCTGGAGATTTGGAAGATAGAAAGAGCAACTAAGGTTATGTGATTTTATTGAGTTCAAGAGCCATATCCTAGTCATCAAGAAAGCAACCAGTAGTAAGTTTGTCTACCATAGAGACGGAGTTTATCGCTGCAAATTCGTGTGCATGCCAAGCAGTATGGTTGAAAAGGGTGTTGGAAAGGCTGGCTCAGAATCAAGGCAATTCAACTATTATTCATTGTGATAGTAGCTTTGCAATCAAACTTTCGAAGAACCCATAATGCATGGTTGCGTTTCCATTTCCTTTGAGAGCTCACAAAGGTTGGTATTGTGGGGTTGGTGCACTGTGGCTCACAAGAACAATTGGCTAATGTGATGACTAAACCACTCAAGCTGGAAGCTTTCTTGAAGCTGCTCTGAGATTGATATAAACTGAGTGGTTGTGGCATTCAGTTTAAGGGAGAAATTGTTAGGTTATGTTTTGATTATTTGTTATCACTCAGTCAATAAGTTCCTATTGTCAAGGGCTAGAGATATATTTGAATTAGTCTTACCACATTATTAGGAGTTGTTAGACGTGGGCTGGTATTTCTTATTTCAGTTTGTTCTGTAAGGCTATATAATAGCCAAGTTTGTTCTTCAATAAACATGAATTTTCTCTTAAGTTTTATATCCTTTTGTAAGTCTTTCCCTGGTTCCTAACAAGGTTATAGGTCCCCATTAACTCAATTTTTAACCCAACAGCCATCACACTGAAATTTTAGTTAATGAAAGACTATATAAAACTTTGAGGAGACAGAAACGTGAATCCATAATTGATACAAAAGAAGTTCTACAACAATTGCTATGATCGGAAGCTTAGTATTACATTGATTTACTTTTGCCGCATTTAATAAATGTGTATAAACATGTATATGAATAGTTAATAATGATTTTATACATGTTATTAATGTGAATGTGATTTTACATGATTGATTTAACAACATATTCATTATATTCGAAAAAACTGGTATGAACATAATGTCTACATAATCGATTTTGAGTGTGCTGCATCTGGAATCTGAATCCAATAACTTATCGTTTCTTCCATATGTCTTTAATGAGCAAATGTACTTTAACTTGAGTAAAATACTTCAAAGTTCAAACATACTTTCTTTTAATCAATTTAATATTATTACATAAGATTTTGAATTTCTATACCAAAACAATATATATAATGAATCCATAACATCTAGATAGGATAATGGAGGATGTCATGGTTTTAGAGTCGATTTATATATTCATTTAAATAATAATATTGCAAATTGGATGACTAAGAAGATCAAGATAAAAGAAAATGGAGGTCAAAGTTAGTCATTTATAGAGCATATGAATATGGGTTTATGGTTGAGTAATAAAGTAAACGACTTTTTCCCACCCAATTAATGGTTTAATGATACTTTCTCATCCACGTATTTTTAAAATACCACTTTATTATTTAAATTTATATTCCGTTTTCGATTTCGGCATCGTTGTAACCCCACACCACCACCATTCTTTTCCCCGATCATCACTCACCAAAATCCCTTAAACCCTACTCCCGTCGATCTCACTAATCGCTAACAATCGAGCAATTAGAGGGTTTACGCAACCGTCCCTCCCAAGTCAAATTCTGATAAATCTCAATCACCAAAATCCAACCTTCCACCACCAAAAAACTCATCGGCCTCCCCTCTTCAAAAGCTCTAATACCCCGGACCAAGTTTGTTATCTGTTTGCAACTAAAATATAAATTTGAATAGTAAAATAATATTTTAAAAGCCTGTGGGTGAAAAGGTGTCATTACGACTTGTTATTTGGATGAAAAAAAAAAAGTCTTTTAACTCTTGAGTTATATGTTCAAAGTGATTATGAATGTATCTTATATTTAACTGTAGTTATTATCCCACGTTTTCAAACAAATAATATCATTTGAAAATTAAAAAAATTAATCAATCAAAGACATTGGCCTACTTGTAGAATTTTCAATTAATTGATTAGACTTTTCAGTTAAGAGTCGATATCCATCTAATATCAAGCTCTAGGTTTGTTAAATTAATTGAATTGGACCACTAGTGAAATAAAATTAATCTAAATATTTGGTTGACCAAAAATCAAAGAAACTGAATCGTAAATTAGATTACATAAACAAGTGAATTGGGACGGTTTAGATTGGATTACAATACCTATAATTCCATAAAGAAATTGTTTCTGAAAAAGACCGGAAACAACATCTAATTGATCTTTGACATTTGTTATCTGAGGAATTCATTTGGCATTAGAAAGTGTCCCTCCAACAGCCAGAGTACAAATAATCAATCCACGAAATTTGTTTAAGCCCTTTTTTTAAGTATAGCATTCAACAGATAAATCCAGACTCCATGGCCTGTCTACGGAGACAATGAGCAATGCCTTCAGCTGCTATATATATATTATTAGGTTTAGAACTGTTTGTATGAGAAACTTATAAGAGTATCGTGATCCATAGTCCATAGTCAGTAGAATTTGCATTAATGGAGTTCCCTACGGTCTGTATGAATCCTGTTACTAACTGAGCTGGGAGTGGTAGTGAAACTCCCAGCTGGTTGAGATTCCAGGCCTCATGATCGATATTATTATGAAATATGTTAAGCATTAAATCTTTAATCATTCACACATAGCTCTAAAAATCCTCAGAAGCTCGAAGAGGATGTTAGACCATATAAGAGAATTACATCTTATCAGAAAAAGAGTTCCTATTGACTTCCTTTTTTCTAATCCGTCGACTGTAAGCTTTTGCTTTCAGTAGTCATATTAGTGGGTTTTCAATCCAAGATGAGCGACGCAGACGCTGTATTGTGTCAATGTATATGAACAGACAAATACCTATTTGCCCTTGCTTAACCATCTTTGTGATACTTAAGGTAAGGGTCTTTAAAGCTGAAATTTATCTCTTTCAACGCAACGCAACAATCACAGTTTAGACGGAAAAGATATTTAGATGCATTTTCCGACAAGAACAAAGACGACCACTACTAATATGGTTTGGGAATTTTCATGGTACCAGATAGCGCTGTAAAGTCAAAAAAACCACTTTTCGTGTGTTTCAATTTCATGATAACCGGCCAAACGCAATAACATTCATGTCAACTTTCTTCACGTATCATAAACCATGAAACCTTTGACTGATCACATGGGGGGCAGAAGCCGCCCTCATTTATGTTAGTCATTTTAATACTACTATTAATAGATAGAGACAAAACAATCCTTAAACTCCATGCTTTGTGAACTCTGTTTCCATGGAAGCTAAGACAGAATTGACAAGGTGCAAATCTGTGTGCTTTTATTAACCTCGGTTGAGTAACAAGAGAAAAGTCAATCCTTTTTTTTTTTATTAAGACTATAGGTACAGGATTTATGCAAATCATACGGTCAATGTGCTACCCTTTATCAAACCATTATAGAGGATTCAAGAAGTTAATATTCATCATTTATTGATCTTTGCAATCCTGTTCCAAGAACTACATAGGGTACTCTCTTTAACTGTTAGTTGAAAATTTTCTGTCCGGGTGATAATAACATTTTTGGATCAAACTGAGCTTTCCTCTGTTTAAAAGTATTCCATTTTGAGCCGAAATGGTCAATCCATTCTTCCTTACTTCCATAATGGCCAAGATACTGCTTAATTTTAATACCAGTTCTGGCACAAAACTGCAATATCTCTTTATTTTTGTTATCAAAGACCTGCCAGTTATCAAAGCCACTTGAATCCAAAAATCCTGCAGGGTAGAAAACATCTTCATCTGGTATAACAGCAGACATCCTATCATCCCATCTGTAATTAAATCATGAACAACAAACATTATTTTGATTCAGGAAAAAAAAAAAAAAAAAGAAAAGAGAGGAGAATCAAAGTATGTGTATAACCAAAGAACTTTAGATGTTTTAAAGACACTTACTTATTTCGGAACATAGGGTAAAAAAGGACAAGTGATGAGGTAAAGTTGTTCTTAAGAAGAATGTCCTTGAAAACACCATTATTGAATTCAAAGATTCCAGATTTGGGTACAAAGAGATTCAACCATGGATGAGGAATCTCCCAAAGTCCTTTTTCCCGAAGTACCAACTCGTCCCGGTGTACTCTATTTAAAAAATCTAGGTAGGTTACATCTGCCTCGTACATAAATCCGGGGATGAAACCATTTAAATTTTTGAATAAACATTTCAGCTCCTGCGAAGAAAGTAGTAGATTATTAATTTTTACATGGATTATAAGTCTTTAATTAAACTGAAACAAATCGATAGCTTACCTTGTCCACAGTACTGCTATCATCATAATACTTGGCTACTTCAATAAAGTAGATGATACCATATTGTTTTATGAGTGAAATTATTTTAGGGCGATCGGATGGTGGAAAAAAATCAAGATTAGTATTCGGGTCCATCAAAAGTTGACCTTCCACATAATCCGGTACATTTTGACAACTTGCTCCGGTCATGGCAATCAAACTTTCTTGGTCTTTACTAAAAGCAGCAAAATCATTGTAAAGAATACGTAACCACCAAACCTATAAAACAAATCAGGTATAGTTAGTAGTTAATAAGAAGAACCAAGGTTCTGTTGATTACAATACTCTTTTATACATTATACATACCCTTTTCTTCGTCGGCTCTAGAACTATTCTTGCTCTCGTTATGATTCCGAATTGACCAAGACCTCCTAGAACTGCAAAAAACAACTCCGAGTTCTGTCGTGGAGAGCAAGTTACTAAATCTCCTTTTCCTGCACAAAAACGAAGGATGAGTTTTTATGTGACATTTTACATTGTAAATTAATACAAGATATTTTTTATGAAGCCATTAAATATGAATTTCATTTGATATTTATAAAAGGAAAACATAAGTTACAATAAGAAAGAAAATTATAATTTCTTTCCTTAAGAAAACTTAAAATAAATGACATATAAAATGGAAACTAAAGAAAAGAAAATATAATTTTTTGAGAATAAAAGATGAAGAAACTTTTTCTCTCCTTTTCTAAGTAACTGAAACTTGTACACGAAACATTAAAAATATGATTTAATGATACAGGTAATGTTAGACATATAAAATTCAGATCAAAAGTTTGTACTTCAACTAATATAACAACTGATTTGACAGGTTACAATAAGATATCAAAATCAAATATTATTTTTTTGCAGAAAATAAGATAACAACTGCCTAAATGATAATACATACTCTTGCTTAAACATTTGAATAGCTACATTAAAAATAAAAAGCAGTAGATCCATGAATATATAGCTAAGATCATGCTTATATTGATTACTAATATGTGGTGCAGATGAATATGGTTTCAGAGTTAATTAATATAATCAAGTTATTATATTTTGTGTATATGTCTTGTATTTAACTGTGCTTATTCCGCAGTTCAAACAAATAATATTTGGAAGAACCAATCAATGTCATTGTCTATTTCTAAAATCTGCAATTGGATTTCCTTTGACTTGGATGGAGTTAAGAGTATATACAACGCTACGTACGTAGGATTGAATTGTATCATTGAATTTTTATAGTGACTCTAAAATACTATAATTATTTGGTTGACCAAACTAATATATAAGGTGGATTTTCCAATATACAAATCCAATCGGCCGATTCGTTTATAATCAATGAAACTGAATTTTGAAACGGCCGGATTATACATATTATACATATAATGGATTTGGACGATTAAAATAGAATTATTCAATATCTGCCGTTCCATAAAGAAAATAGCATAGATGAAAATTAAGGACCGAAAGTTCATACCAGTAACAACATCTAATTCTTTGACATTAGCAATCTGAGGACCTCTGCGATGCGTTTGGCCGCTAATTCCAGCGTTTGAAAGCGTCCCACCAACTGTCAGATACAAATAATCCGTCCAAGAAACTGGCGAAAGTCCTTGTTTCAGTGTCTCATTCAATACATCAATCCACAGCTGTTCGCCCCCAACGTCGGCGTAAAAACCTGAGCCCTTGTTTCCGGATACAATAATTCTACTTCCGTTTCCATTCTTTTTCAGAGACAACATATCCACCACTACGCCGCTGGCAGCCATGGCCTGGCCCCAGGTAGAATGAGCATTGCCTTTTGCGGCTACTGTATAAGGAGTAGAATTACTTTTGAATGAAAAACTTATCAGAGTCTTGATATCATCGACGGATGATGGAGATAGAACAACTGCGGGATTCACCGAAATAATATGTCCGTAATCGGTAGAAGCGGCTTTGATTGCATCGGGGTCTGAGTGAATCCTGCCACTGAGCTAGGGTGGCAGTGAAATAGCCCATGTAGAGATTCCATAACCTGTGATTGAAAAGATAATGAAATATATGAAGATTTGAATGCTAATAGCCATTGCTTTAGAGAGGAAAAGAAGAAGAAGAAGAAATTAATTGCCGGAAGAAGAAGAAGAAATTAATTGCCGGTATTATGATGGAGAAAACGAGAGGTGTTTATATAGAGAATTAATTGCGTATGAAATCTTTATTAAGCTGGTGGTTTGAAATTGCCAGTAGGGATTACTTATTTTAAGTTTTTAAGATCATCTCAAATGACTCTTTTTGAGACTTTTTATACCATAATGTTAAACTTACATCAATCTTTTACACTATTTTCATTACATGATGAAGTGATATATGTCACAATCACATAAATTTTTAATTATTTTGAATTTTTAATATTGTAATAGAATTTTTGTGGTTGTGACATATGTCATATCATGATGTAATAAAAATAGTGTAAGTGTAGCATTACTCCTCTTTATATGACCCAAACTTCTTATTATAAAGAATCCAAGAAACTTTTTATCTTTAAAATATAAATTAGAGAGTGAATTTGACTCTTCATATTTAGAAAGTCAAATTTCACTCTCTATCCTAATTTTAATAAATAAACTATAAGTTCCTATGCATTTTATTTATAATTCTCTCTCTATTAAGTCTCTTTCTAAAAAATAAAGAATATTTTTATTAAATTTAAAGAGTCTATTATATTTGAATAAAAATTGTATTCTTTAAATTTAAAAATTAATGAAGATGCTCTTTATTTATACGAAAGATGCTCCTCAAAATAAAGAGCACCATTGAAGATGCTCTAATAACACGGACTCAAACTGTATTTTATAATTATTTTTTGGAAATAAAATTTAATGAATCATGCCAAAATTGAAAAAATAAATACTATTATTGCCATATGCGACATCATTTAAGATGAAATTTGTTGAATAAAAACCTATGACCTATGATATTATTGTTTGAAAAAAGATAAACTATATGATACATCCAAGGAGTACATCATCCTTATGACAATCCAATTATGAATTTACTTCACATAGATTTCAGTGTGAACAACCAGATTCTTTATTAGGATGACAAAGAGAAAAATGCAGCAGATATGATGAATTCAGAGTATAATTGTATGAATAACATTATCCCTTACTCTAATTTAGACTTTTCCTAAGAGAATAGTATAATCTATAGAAATCGAGGAAAAAAAAAAATGTTTAAAGAATGATTTAGAAAAAATGCCAAGAATATAATAAATGATAATATGCAAATTGATACCATATATGCATAAATAATTTGGTATAAAGACAATGAAAAAAATTAAAGTAACATATATAATAAAAACAAATGTTACTAAATGTGTGTGTGTGTATATATATATATATATATATGGAATGTTACTACTGTTTTAAAAGATAATAAATGTTAATAAATCAAATAAGGAAATACAGCTTTTGCAATAACTATGGGTGCTATTGGTTTATTATTTTGGATAGGATTTTGAGGATAGTATTGGATAGTTGGATAGGGTTATTATTACGAGGTATAATTTAAAAATTTAAAAAAACCCCCTAAGTTTACTAATTTAACTAAATACCCCAATATATAATTTTTTTGTAAAATGATAAAAACACCACCACCCATCCACAATGCCAGATTTCGGCCACCACCACCGGAATCTGGTCTGAATCTGGCGTTACGACTCAGATCGGTCGGATCTGGCTGCACGTGCGTCGATCTAGCCTTTTTCAACTAGATCTGGCTGTCAACGGCCGAAAAAGGCCAAATCTGGTCGTCAGCGACAGCCAAAGATATGGCCGTCTCTGATGGCCAGATCGACGACTTACCGGCCAGTTTCGGTTGTTTGTAGGCCGTTGTGATATATTCCGGCTACCACCGACGGTGGTTGTCAGAATCTGACAACTATGGGTGAGTGGGGGTATTTTTGTTAATTTTTAAACTTTTTTTCTTGGGGGTATTATGAAATTAATAAACTTAAGGGGTCTAAAAAAATTAAAAAATATAATAATATTTCCCAAATAATTAAACAAACAAATATTTTAGGAATAGGATTGGGAATATGGATAAGAATAATAAACCAAACATACCCTATAATATGGCAAACGTTATATCAAGAACAGCTATATATTGTTAAAATAAAGAAAACATAAATCATATGTGAGCATGAAGTTTCATCACCAGTATTGGGATTATTATAATCTCTAAAATCTGATTCACGGTTTTAGTTTCGTATTTGCAGGCCAGAGAAAGAAATTTACTTTTGAGACCAAAATGTTCAAAAATTCTTGAGTTGAATAAACGTATCATATATATATACATTGGATAAGCCCGTGGGACCTAAAGTTCTGACAGAAATATTTAATAAAAATGAAAATTTTAACGAGTTTGACAATGAAATAACTACTATTAGTTTCCATTTTATGTACATTTTGTAAGCAATATATATATAAATTTATTAAATTGAAAGCGGAAGCTCAAGAACCTACCTCCATCGTGGTAATCAAATTCCAAGAGGCTTGTAGATTGGGATGCGTTTTAGTCTATTCAAGACCTTATTTCATGTATCAATGGAGAATCATAAAACTTTCTTGTAGACTAGTGACCATATTTGCCTCTCTGATATTTTTGGGTTTTACGTAATGTTTATACATTCTTTATAACTTCTTATCCATCAAAGAAGAAGAGTTTATATAAAGGGTGGTTATCACAAAATAATTGATGGGAAGTTTCAAGTAACTAGTATGGGAGGTTAAAATAATAATGGCCACAACTTACATTCGACACTGAATACGTATCAATTCAATATTGATACATTCTCAAAATTTCTCATAAATATAATATCCTCATACCCAAAAAAAATAAATAAAAAGTTTAAATTGCATGAATCGTGGCGATAAGTCCTTTTAGAGCAAGTATTGTCTTCCACATATTACAATACAACTTTCTCTTTTGAGTGAGAACCATATATGGTACACAACTTTATGAATGAACTTCCAAATGCTCATTCAATGTCAACAACCGAAATTCAAAAATGCATTGTCATTCTCCAAACTTCATGTATACAACTAAATAAGAGAAGACAAATATGAAAATAAATGGAGTCTTCTAAATCAACAAAATGCGATACAAACATAAAAGGTATCTTAGTCACATAAGGAAAAAAAACATAATATAACTTAGTCACATATGCCCAACATGTCTCTTATAACTTATCAGCAATATGTGGTAAACCTTTTGTTCGCGAATCAGCAATCATCAATCCAATACTGATGTGCTCAATAACCACTTTGTTTGCTTTGACATGTTTTCGAATAACTAAATATTTAATGTTGATATTTTTACTACGACTTCTGCTTTTATTGTTCTTGGCCAAAAACATTGCAGCAAAATTATCACAATAAATCTCAATGTCTTGGAAATTGAGTCAACAACTCCAAGCCCTAAAATAAAACTCCTTAACCATATAGCCTATCATGTCACTTCAAAACATGATACAAATTTTGCTTCAGTGGTAGAAGTAGCAACCAAAGATTGTTTTGCACTTCTCTAAGAAATGGCCCCTCCTACTAATAAGAAGACATATCCTGATGTCGACTTTCTCGAGTCAGGGCAACCAGCAAAGTCAGTGTTTAAATATCTAAATTATCAGAATGACTATATGTAAGCTTATAGTCCTTAGTCTCCTAAAGGTATCATATGACTTTCTTTGTAGCTCCCCAATGGTCCAAACTTGGGTAACTTTGATATCTACCTACATTCCAACTACATATGCAATGTCAAGTCTTGCACAGACCTGAGCATACATTAAACGCCCAATGGTGGAAGCATTAGGAATATTCTTGATCATTTGTTCTCTCTAAATTATTTCTTGGGTTTTGTTTCAAATTGAATTTATCACCTTTGACAATAGGTGCAACACTAGATGAACAATCCTTCATACGAAATTTCTCTAAAACTTTATTAATATAGGCTTCTTGAGACAATCCTAATGTCCCTCGGGATTTGTCTCCCTCCATTTTTATGCCTATGACATATGAAGTTTCTCCCATATCTTTCATATCAAATTTGTTTCGAGAGAAATCACTTAACCTCATGAAGTAAGCCCAAATCACCTGAAACTAGGATATCATCTATATATAGGACTAAGAAAATTATTTTGCTCCCACTGACCTTATGATATATACATTGATCCATAATATTCTCTGTAAAACCAAATGAAGAAATGACATTATGGAATTTTAAATGCCATTTGACATGAGGCTTGTTTTATCCCATATATAGATTTCTTAAGCCTACAAACCAAGTGATTGTTCCCCTCTGAAATAAAACATTTTGGTTGTTTCATGTAAACCTCTTCCTCTAGATCTTCACTGAGGAATGCTTGTTGTTTTCACATCTATTCAACGTAGCTCCATATCAAAATGAGCCACCAATGCCATGATTATCCGAAATGAATCTTTCTTTGAAATAGGAGAGAAAGTATTGTGATAATGAATTCCTTCTTGTTGAATGAATCATTTGGCCACAAATCTTGTTTAATATTGCCTAAAAAGTCTCGTTTGGTTTTAAAGACCTATTTACAACCAATGACCTTTCCCCCTTTTAGGCAATTCAACAAGATCCTAGACTTGGCTATTAGCCAAGGAATCTAACTTATCCTTCATGGCATCATACCATAATGTGGATTTATTTCCATTCACAGCCTATGAAAACATAATAGATTCATCTTCAACACCAATGTCCATGTCATAATCTTGCAAGTACACAACATAATCCGAAGAAATTGCAAGTTTCCTAACTCTTAAAGATATTCTCAATGTTACATCAACATCATCAGCTAGAGAATGCAGAGTAACTAGATCTATAAGAATATCTTCATGATGATGTGGTTTTTCAACGATTGGTTGTTCCTGAGTTATCAAATCCTAATGATTATCACAAAACACATGTTTTTGTCATCAAGGTGCTCACTAATGCCTTGTTAGAAGTCTCAAACTGATCTTTTACAACTTTGAGATATTCTTTCACTTTAGCACAATCAGAGATGGATCCACAAATACTTTTTCCCAATATGAGACCTTATTAACATCAAACTCAAGCAATTGGATTGCTCCCTGTTTTTCTCATCTTGGGTGCTTGATTTCGTGGGCTTTTGGTAGTTCATCCACCCAAAGTGTCAAGTCAAGGTCCATGCACTCTAATGCCAGGAGAATTTTCTCCTTCCAAAGAACATAGTTAATACCACTCAGATGAATAATTTGAGAGAAATCAAAATTAGGAACAGATAAAGTTTGAACAACTGTAAAATAAACAACAACCTTACTAAAACATGCAATGAAGACTCTTTTAATTCAATAAATAAAAATTTGTGCAACAAAATTATGTAAAAAATATATGTTACAATAGTTTAAATTTAGAAGGTGGATTAAAGTATGATTCTTATATAGTATAAATAAATGAGATTGAAGTTTAAATATTAATAACATTAATTTTCAATCAAGTATAGAAAATATACTAAATAAATGCATCAAAATAATCAAAAATTTATTTGAGATATATATATATAAGAATACATGCTAAGATAACTCAATGAATATAAAATCTCTTCATGAGGAGCTGATGTATGCCCTCATGAATATGAATTTGATTACCAAAAAGAAAAAAAGAGGCTCAACCAACTCAATACACATTAAGTGATGAGTATAGTTACATTTGTTTTTTCTACAATAAATATAAAAGAAATCCCACATTTTAAATTTTTTATATATAATTACAACTTTATTCTTATTTTAATTTATCAAAAACAAGGTATAAAAATAAAATTATAAATACATTTTGTGCCCACATACATGCCGAAACCCTATATATATCATATTCTTTTTATTAGGTTTAACATATGATACTTAAATTAAATTGGTCCCCTAGATATTTAACACACTTAAATATATTGATCCTTATTCTTAATTAAAAGTTATTGTTAAGGATATTTATTCATATATATATGCAAAAAAAAATCTACTGTTACGGAAATAGGGTCTGATCCCGTGAGGTTGAGGTCATTGACAATCCGCTGGACCTACACACATGAAAAGGCTAGCGTGAAGCTTATGGAAAACACCAAGGTGGTGTTTGTCGTAGGCACTCCGACGCTCAAGTCAACAAGGCTGGAAGAGACAATTTAATGAGAATTAGGGAAAGAAATATTACCGGAGACCAGAAGGCGCTGAATTTAGGGAGTAAGAATTTAGGAGTAAGGAGGTGATTTTGAGTATTGAATATTGGATATTGAATGAATTATGAGAGGGCAAGCCTCTGTTTATATAGTGAACCCAAGGGGTTGGAATCCTAGTAAGACATGAGTCCTACTTTGGGAGATAATCCCTATCAGGAAAGAAAGATATTTTCTTCCTTATCAGTTATATACTAGTTTGAGTAAGATTGGGATCTTAACAGAAAAGGAATAGAATGAGATTTTGATTTCCTATTTATGGACTATTGTAGGCTAATGGGTCGAAACCATTTTAGCTTGACTTGTAGGATGGCCAACTCATAGAGTGGGCAATTCACAAGGAAATATAAGCATGACCAATCGGAATTGGCTAAAGCCTTGGTGTGGCATGTTTATTTCGTTATTAGGCCTGTGAGGCCCAAGACGGTTTTTGCCCATACAGTTAGCCCCCCTCCCCCCCCCCCGTTCTCTCTCTCTCTCTCTCTCTCTCTCTCTCTCTCTAAGTTAAAGGTTATTTAGCTTAGAGAGTATATTTAATCAATTGAGTGCAGACTAAGCGGATCAATGCTAGCAGCTCGTTAGGTCGGATGGACCATTGTTTGAAATGTGAAAGTTCGCTCAACCAACTTGAGTTGGGAAAAATATAGAGTTTCGCTCGACCAACCTAAGTTGGGAGAAGTTTGGTCGACCAACCTGAGTTGGGAGTATTGAGTGGCTTGGAGAGTACGTTGTTCCTTCCATAGGTGTAAGAATATGTGAATCGTGACCTTCAAGAGTCGAGTCAGTTCGAATTGATTCGTCCAGGTGTGGACTTGGATGAAGTTTAGTGGAGTCACTTCAAGATGAGGGTGTGTACCTCCCACTCGGCTTGGCTTATGCTGATGACTAGATGGTATATGCCAAGTGGAGCTTGTATAGAGCTTTTTCTTTAAAGTTGGACATTGTGCATATGAGGTTGTTGAGGGTCATGTGGAGATTGAGCGGAGTGGAGGATTCGTGATTGGAGAAGAATGAAACGAATGGAGCATGTCATTGAAGTTCATGGCGATAAGGCCAAGCCAAATGGTGCTTATGCATGCCTATTTGTTGGTTGAAGCTGAATGAAGGAAACAAGTGTTCACTAAGTCATTTGGGACCGAATGAAGGCCCCCGAGTTGAATGGAGAACAAATTAAACCAAATATAATTTTAAGGCATTTGGGTAGAGCCGAATGAAATTGGTGACAACATACACTTATCTGGAGCCGAAGGGGATTTAATTTGGCCTTGAAATCCATTTCACATGGCGCATCACAATTCGAGTGGAAGATTCACATGGAATGTTGAGCCGGGTGATAATGATTCAATGTGAACCTGGACCGAGTGGAGTTTTTTTTCCAAATGCTAATGCAATGAGTGGACCTAACCATGTCGAATGAGCATGTGGGTGTTGCCACTTGTATCCCACTACCATATACTCCCAATTGATCCACTAAGTGGAGCTGAGTGGATAGCTTAACCTGATTTTAGACTTTCTAGTGATGTCATGCATGGTATGCATGTGATAAGCAACAAGTCAAATGGAGAAGTGATATGCATGATGTGCATGTGTCTAAGTAATAAGCCGAATAGAGAAAGAATAAAGCAAATGGGGTGTAAGGTAAAAGGTGAAGTAAAGGGCCGACTGGGACATAGCTTTACCGCTTTATATGCAGCTACCCATGCTTGCTGGATTGGGTGGTGGTGTTTTCCTTGAAGGTTATTCAACCAGCTTCAAAGATATCTTGAATGCAAGCGTGTGTATTGCTGACTGACTCAAACATTGTTTTGAGTTTGCACAGAACTAAATGGAGCTTTGCTATTAGTCTTTAAGCCGAATGGAGACCATTACCCAGCGTAGCTAACTTTGTTGGTCGAGCCGAGTGTAAATAGTTCATGCTGAAGTGTGATCGAGTATGTGCCGACTGAAACTGATTTCATCTAAGCGTGTATGGATGGTCAAATGAGAGGTTCTGGAGATCCATGCGGTTCTTCCTAGAAGATGCGACCTTTGAAGGTGTCTTTAATGGAGTCGTGTACAGGCAGAAGTTTGAGCAAAAAATTGATAGCTCATTCGGCTTTTCTTGGGATGTAGAATGCTATTGAGACTGAGCGAATTCAAGTGTTAAAATTTTAGGGTAAAGACGATGTGGAGTTTACAAATGATGGCTTTGGCCAACAACGAAGAGAATTATGTTAGAGTTATTGCAGCTGGGAAACTGACCAAAAAATCTTCTCAAGTTGGTTTGGTTCTTAGGGAAGATTCTTGGATTCATCATCGGAGAAAAGATGTTAGTAATGGTTATTCAGTGTTGACACCAGTTATGACCATGCCAGGAGTTAGCATAGCTGGACATTTCACTCTCAGTTTGACTCGGTTCGGCCGACTAAGTCGAATGGAGAATACACAAGTGAAACAGCCTTACGATTTTTTGCATGAGTGCCATCAAGTGTACCAGAAGGGAAACAGATTGCAACTGGTGGCAGGAGGGGTAGAGAGTTTACAAACAGTCGAAATAGTAAAGGCTCTTCTGAAGGTTTCTGACCTAAATTTTATGGAGTACTAGGAGATGAGTGGCTGAGCCGAGTGAAGGCATTGAAGCCACTTGTATGTTTTTTTTAGTTGTAGGAACAACTACTATAGAGCAGCTCTTACCTCCATAGGATATAGCATGGAGATTACACTTCAAGCGCGTGTGCGAGGAATGGCCCAAAGTCAATATTTGGGCTTACTACTTCCCTACCAATAGCAGAAGCACAGAGCAGGAGTGTGGAAGTCCACTCAAGTACCCTTTAGGGGTCACATGATCCAAGTACTACACATGGAATTGGCTGATTCAAAGGGAGAATTAATGAGACCTAGATGGAGAGTGAGACAGAGACGTAAAGGGAGATGTAGATGGTGACTTGTGAGACAATGACGATGAGGGAGAGTCAACGGCAGGGAGATTGAAGGCATCGGGTTGCAAAGTGTGAAAAACAGAGAACTGGTTGTGATTTTCATTATATGTATTGATAAATTATACATCAATATATAGGAAAATAAAGAACTAATCTAGGAAACAAAAAATCTAATCTATGAAATGAATAATCTAACTTTCTATTTTACAGATTTGTTCTTAATATATATTGATTACAATCCTAATATCCTATTATAGATTTATACACTTAATCGTGCAATATTTGTAAGATTTTGCATGATTATCTAGAACACTCCCCCTCAAGATGGAGCATAGATGTTAATCATGCCCAGCTTGTTACAAATATAATCAATCCGAACCCTATTCAAAGCTTTAGTGAAAACTTCTCCTAGTTGCTCTCCAGTCTTCACATATCCTGTAGACATTAAACCATGCTATATTTTCTCATGAATGAAATGACAGTCAATTTCAATGTGCTTAGTTCGTTCATGAAATACGTGATTAGAAGTAATATGAAGAACGGCTTGGTTATCACACCACAATTTCACTGGCAAAGAGGCCATAAGACCAACTTCAATCAAAAATTGATATATCCATATTACTTCACACAGACTGGGCCATAGCCCTATATTTCGATTCTGCACTAGATCGGGACACAACAGTTTGCCTTGTACTTTTCCATGAGACCAAATTTCTACCAACAAAAACACAATAGCCCATAGTGGATCTCCTATCTATATTGGAACCCGTCCAATCTACATCAGAGAGGTGCTCAATATTAGTATGTCCATGATTTTCGTACAAAATACTACGTCCTGGAGCTCCTTTCAGATAACACAGAATCTTCTCTAACACTGCCCAATGGTCAACTGTAAGAGAAGACATGATTGACTTATTACACTAACAGAGTACGCAATATTAGGATGAGTGACTGTTAAATAGTTCAACTTTCCAACCAGTCTTCTATACCCCTCAGGATCTTCAAACAGTTCACCATCTTTGGGAAGTTGCGAATTAGGAAACATTGGCGTACTGCATGGCTTAGCTCCACATTTTCTTGTCTCAGTTAATAAGTCAAGTACATATTTTCTTTGAGAGAGGAAGATGCCTTTCTTCCTCCCTGTTACCTCAACCCCCAAGAAATACTTCAACACTCCTAAATCCTTTGTATGAATCTGGGTGTGAAGAAAGGACTTAAGTAATGAAATCCCTACAGTGTCACTCCCAGTGATGATAATGTCGTTAACATATATGACAAGAAGAATAATGCAAACTGCCGATTGTTTGTAAAAGACTGAGTGATCAAACTTGCTCTTTGTCATTCCGAACTTTTCAACTAACAGACTGAATTTTCCAAATCAAGCACGTTGACTCTATTTCAAACCATACAACGATTTGTGAAGATGACAAACTTTCCCATACTCCCCCTACACAACAAACCCCAGTGGTTGCTCCATATAAACTTTTTCTTGAAGGTCACCATGTAAAAAGACATTTTTGATGTCCAACTAATGTAATGGCCAAGAATGAGTAGCCACCATAAAGATAAATAAACGAACAGAAGTTAATTTAGTCACAGAGGAAAAAGTGTCAGAATAATCCACTCCATAAGTTTGAGCATAGCCTTTAGCTACAAGATGAGCTTTAAGGTTAGCCATTGACCCATCAGGATTTACTTTAACAGCAAACACCCATTTGTATCCAATAGGTCTCTTTCCAGTAGGTAAGTCAACCAAGGTCCAAGTACCAGTAATAGCTAAAGCATTCATCTCTTCTATCATAGCATTAAGCAAGTTAGGATGAGATAAAGTTTCATGAACAATTGTAGGAAAGGAGAAAGAGTCTAGTGATGCCACAAAAGAACAAGAAGAAGATGATAGGTGGTCATAAGAAACAAATGAAGAGATAGGATAAGTACATTGTGTTTACCTTTCCGACGAGCAATAGAAAGATCAAGATCACTCAAGGTTGGATCCAACGACGAAGAGTCTTAGGTAGGACATGAATTCTGAAGGTCTTCCTGACGAGGAACACAGGTATCGGGATCACTGGAGACTGGATCTGATGGCAAAGGGACTAGTACAAGAGGTTCCTGTCGACGAGAATAGACAATGCGAATTGGTGGTAGTGGAAGGACAGGAGGTGGTGTCGGAGAAGGAACAATAGGTGGGGAAGCCTTAGATGTAGGAGTAGCCTAGTAGGGATGTGACAGTGTAGATTAGTATCGTCCTCCCCCTGATTTGTATAGGTAGACGAAGTAGAAAAAAATGGGTGTTTTCTAAGAAAGTAACATCAAGTGACACCAAATATCTATCAAGACTAGGACAACAGCATCAATATCCCTTCTGAAGGCGAGAGTAACCTAGAAAAACACATTTAAGAGATTTGGGATCTAACTTGGTTACCTGGGGTTGAACATCACAAACCAAACAAGTACTACCAAATATCTTTGGTGCAATAGGAAACAAAAGCTTAGACGGGAAGAGGACACTATAAGGAGTGGAACCATTCAGAATAGATGAAGGCATGCGGTTAATTAGAAAACAAGTCATGGAAACTGCTTTGGCCCAAAACTATTTAGAAACTTGCATTTGAAATAATAGGGCTTGGGCGGTTTCAAGAAGATGCCTATTTTTCTTCTTGGCTACTCCATTTTGCGACGGTGTATCAACACAAGAGGATTGATGAAGAATGCCATGCTGACTCATATAAGACTGAAAAGAACTCGAAAAATATTCTTTGGCATTATTGTTTCTTAATGTCTGGACAAAAGTATTAAATTGAGTTTTAATTTCAGCACAAAAGGCACAAAAATGAGAAAACAACTCAGAACGATTTTTCATTAAATAAAGCCAAGTTACACAAGAGTTGTCATCAACAAAGGTAACACAATATTTAAATCCAGGTTTAGACATAATAGAACACAGACCCCAAACATCTGAATGAACTAATTCAAAAGGGACACTAGCCCGTTTACTGACTCTTGGACTTGAAGGAAGACGGTGGTGTTTGGCAAATTGACATGACTCACAATCTAACGAAGATAAATTATTAAACTGAGGACAAAGTTTCTTTAACAATGGTAAAGAAGAATGTCCTAACCGACAATGCGCCTCAAAAGGGTTTGAAATACTGGAACATGCAGTGGTTCTGGGCACCTGTGTGTCAAGGATGTAAAGCCCTCCAGATTTTATGTCCTTTACCAATAATCTTCCTAGTCCTAAGATCTTGAAACAGGCAATGATCAGGGAAAAATGAGATGCAACATTTAAGAGCACGAGTGAGTTTTCTCACAGAAATTAAATTACAAGCGAACTGTGGTAGAGTCAATACAGAGGATACAGAAATTAACAGAGTAGGGTTAACAGACCCAAACCCAAGAACACATGAAGTTGACCCATCAGCTAAAGTAACATTAGATAAGGAATTATGTGATGATATGTTGAAAAGAGACTAGGATTACCTGTCATATGATTTGTGGCACTAGAATCAATGACCAATTTAGAGGATGAGGAAATAAGACATGTATTTGGTTTACCTGACTTGGCAAGAGCGGTGATGGAAGTAGATGAGAACTTCAATGATTCTTGATACTAAGAAAACTTGGCAAACTCATCAGCTGAAATCATAACCGTCTTCTCAGAAGTATCAGTAGCAGCAACATGAGCTGATTGAGTTTCTGGGCCTTATTTTTCAACTTTCTACATGTGCGCTTTGTATGATCGGGTTCATAACAGTAGTAGCACACAATCCCTCCTGACTTCGATTATCACAATTATTCGAACCCCCTCATTTATTATTGCTCTTGTTATATGAACGTCCGATGTCATTATTCTAACTTACAAGAGCACTACTCGACTGAACAAATGGAGTGCTTTCTGTACGAAGAACCCTAGTAAATACGTCTTTGAGGGAGGTGGTCTCAAAACTGACAAGAACCTGAGATTTAGTAGAGTCAAACTCAGAAAGGAGTCCAGCTAGGAAACTCATACCGCCATTTTCTCTCCTTGAGCTTGTTGAACTTTCACATTAGCACTCACCGGTAAAAGGACGTTAAGTTCTTCATATATCCTTTTAAAGTCCATAAAATAGGTCGTAAGAGATCTATCTTGTTTCTCAGCTCGATAAAAGGCTTTGCATATATCAAAAATACGAGAAATATTCCCTTTCCCATAATACAAAAAATCTAGATAGTTCATCAACTCTTTCACATATTCACAATGATTAATTAAACCAAGTACCTCACTGTTGATGAAATTTTGTATCTGCAAGAACAATTGGGCATCCTCTCTCAACCATGTTTGCTTTGAATCGTCTTCAGACGGATCTTTTATGAGATGATCATCTTTACCAATGCTTCGTAGGTAGAGACGAATTGTCTTACTCCAATCAAAATAGTTATCAGACCCATTAAGCTTATGTTCCATAATTTTTGACATTACAGGAACCATATCAATTATAGGCTTATCAGCCATGGTAAGAAGACGAAAAATTGATCTCAACACAAATAGCCAACACAACTTACAGACGAAAATTAGCAAACTGACCTCAACACAAATAGCCAACAAAACTCTTTAAAGAAAGAAATCTAATACCAACAAAAATCAACAAAACTGATTTGATCGGCTTGAGATATTGAGGAACTGATCACACAGACTCGCCAGAAATATCAAGACGAAATCGGGAAGGGTGATCGGAGCACTGTCCTCCGCCACACATGCCTGCACGTGAAGACTGTCGCAGATGAAAAAGGTAGCGCGTGAGACTCATGCGCTGCTCCTCCGGTGATTAGACTTCAAGGAATGGTCGATCGGCAAGAGAGGCTTCTTCCTAGGCAGGCAGTGAGAAAAAGAAAAAAGCCATTCTCTAGGGTGACTCACAAATAATGCTCACTTGGGCAGAGAAAAAAAAAACGAAGTTGAGAAACAACCTAGCATTGCTCTGATACCATGTGAAAAACAAAGAACTGGTTGTGATTTTCATTATATGTATTGATAAATTATACATCAATATATAGTAAAATAAAGAACTAATCTAAGAAACAAATAATCTAGTCTAGAAAATGAATAATCGAACTTCCTATTTTACATACTTGTTCTTAATATATATTGATTACAATCCTAATATCCTATTATAGATTTATACACTTAATCATGCAATATCTATAAAATCTTGCATGATTATCTACAACACAAAGTGATAGCAGCAGCAGTTGCAGTAGCAGTGGCAGTGGCAATGGTCTGTGATGACAAAGTGAAATGCTTGTTTCTCAAACATTTGCAGTGGCTGCTTGAGAGTTTTCGCCTTCGCCAGGCTTGAGAGTTTCTGCTGTTTGTGGTTGACATTGACATTGCAAAGGTTTTTTGAGAAGTTTCCGAAGGAGTTTATAGTTGTTGAGAAGTTTTTCTAATTTGCTTCTAACAGGAATCCTGGGTTTGACTTATGCGTCTCGAAGAAAGTATTTGAGGGAGAATGGGTTCTCTTGATGAAGGGATTCCTTAATGATGAGTTTCTTCATCTGGCCTCACTCGACTTAACTCGAACTGTGAAACCGAGTTTAGTGTTAGATGTTTGAGCGTTGAGCACTTCATTGACAAGACGAGTGGAGCAAGGTCCCTCGTTTGTTTTAGGAGAAATAGAGGATGAGATCTCTTAACGACACGTGTATTTCTTTGAGACACTGGTGCTTATTGAAGCAGAGTGCAAATTGAGTGTTCGCATGTTTAGAAATGGGTTGGAGCTATGAAGAATGCTGAATTTTAGGCTAAACTGAGAGGGGACAATGTTTCTGATTTAGGAGACGAGGTTGAGTAAGTGTTGTCTTGGCTCTTCGTGGTAAAACAATCATGGTACTATTACATTTGTCGGGCTGAGTGAAATTTTGGGTGATCCTCCAAAGCTCATAAAGGAGATGAGTGAGTTTTTTTAATGGCGTTAGCTGAGCAGAGTCGTATGAGACTTGTCTGAGGGGATTGTTGGTTGGTTACTTGGTGAAAAAAACCTTTTGGAGAGCCCAGTGGAATGTTGAGGATGGTGGTGCGGAGTTACACCAAATGGTAAGTTTGTTAACCTGAATAACCCTTGGTCAAAACCGAGTTGTCTAAACCATGACGATGAAGGAGTCCAGCAATTATTACTCTTCCAGTTTCAAATTTGTATCTTCCGAACTGTGCAGGGTGATCCTTTTTCGAGTTCAAGTTTCCTTGACCGTGTGGTGCCGAATGTAGATTTTATTAGCAAACAATTAGGCTTATTTTATTATGTGAGCTTGTTTTGATAGAGGCCAAGACTAAGTGTAATGTTTCAAGTCAAACTGGAGTATATATATATGGAAGCAAGTGGTGGCGAATAGAGGTTTCTTTTCAACTGCCCGACACCATCTTTGAATTATCCCAGCCGTGTCATGTGAGAAGATCCTCGGGGTTTCACCTACTCCCCTTTGGCTACACATTTAGAAATGTCACCCATGACGAGCCGAGTGAACATGGCTAAAGGTGAAGAGGCTGCAGCTACCCACATTGTGATGCCTGAAGGTGATGAACCAACTCATGGTTCAGGTGGTGTGGCGGTGTTGAGCTATCTGGTAGAGTCAAACTGCATATGGGTGGAGATGTGGTCTGTTATTTACTAGTGCTTGGCATCCTCACCTCATTAATTGTTGTAGCTTGCTCCTTCCTATAAAAGTTGGATTTTGGATATGGGCATAGTTCACCACTTGCCGCTTGGCTAGCATAAGCTTCAACAGATGAGCTAAACCTCTATTTTCCATCTAGGTGTCTAT